CCTCACAGCAGTGGCTGTTCTCCGGTCCCTGCACTTGCAGCTCGGCTTTTCGGAGAGGGACAGGGCACCACAAACTCCTGGAGATACTCCAAACTTGCAGAGCTGCTCTGGGATGACGGCAGCCACCTCCAGTTCAGCTTGGCTTTGAGAGAATGACGTTTGTCACGGTTTGCGGGATATTCTGAAGTTTGCATCCGAAAAAAAAAGGCTTTCGGAGCGGTGCCGGCTGGCTTGGAGGACCCGGCGCACTTGGCACGCTGCTGGCGAGCATCCCCGCCTCTGCCCCGGCAGCAGGTCAGGCTCTCCTGCTCGAGACTGGATTCTTTCTGGATTCGTCTCATCTCACAAGGAATGGACCTCCCTATCGTTCACTTTGTCACAGGACTGGCATTACTTATCAAAGTGCAAGAAGGTGGATAAGCCAAAGCTGGGAAGGACCTAAAAAAGCTTCTTTGTGTCGTTATTTTATGGAATTCTCCTACCTACCTCGCAAAATTCTCATTTGCTTGATCAGAAACACCTCTGGAGTTGACTTTGAGAATGAACGGTGATGTCCTCTAGCCATTGGTAACATCCTAGCAAAGCTGCCTCTCTCTCACGTCCAAGTTCAATGCGCTGCAGCTGACTGAGACCTCGTGTCTTCTGCAAATAGAGACTGGCAGCAAGCTGACAGTCAGATATGACTGTCCAGAAACTGGTAGCCACAGCTGTGTTGGTAGCCCTGGTCTCACTTATTCTTAACAACGCAGCTGCCTTCACTCCCAACTGGGTATACCAGACCCTGGAAGACGGGCGCAAGCGCAGCGTGGGGCTCTGGAAGATGTGTTGGCTGGCAGAAAAGAGCAGAGGAGGTGCAAGCACGAGTGCCAGGCACGGGCAAGGGGAGGAGCGCGAGTGCGAAGCCCTGGGCTGGGGCTCAGAGTCAGCTGGGTTCCAGGAGTCCCGCAGTACTGTCAAACGTAAGTTTAATCTCTTGTCTTCTCTGCTTACGTTAAGGTCACAATTGATACCGTTTACCTGGTCCCGAGGAGATTTATAGCCTAGCAGATCATCCTGAAATAATTGTTAACCATCTGATTCTAAACATCTCTTAACAGTCATCCCCAAGTAAATTAATTTGGGAAAATAAGAATAATTATGTCCACCAGTGACAAACTAAACTCCTCCTCCTCCCTCCTCAAAAGCAGTAATCTGCGTTGCACTATATGGTTTATACAGCATATGGAATGATGTACTTTGAAAAAATAATCTGTGAAGTGTAAGTCTAAATCTTTGAGGCATCTGCCACTCGCTGTTCCCTCTTGGGTTCCTGCTATAAGTGTGTCCCTTCCTGCTCAATACATTAAAACCCAACCACAGTTGCTCTGAATACCATAAAATTAAAAAAAAACACCAACCCAAAAACCAAAGAAACTATTCAGGTGCCAAGTTATTTCTCCCTTCTGTTTACTTTTGTTGGAAAAGACAGAAATAGGTTTGGTGAAAACATGTACAATTGAGATAGGCCTTAATGCACGCAACTATTCTTGGTGAAAAAACACAAATAGTACACTACTTGGGGAACATGAAAATCATTAAGCACGGTGTATTTCTCATTTTGCACATTCAAACTCGTGGGATCTGAAAATATGGCTTAAACTGAGCTAGTTAAAATTTTTGGGTAAGATGAAGCCTGTAAGCCAGCATTGCAAATTCTAAATCTGAATAATAAAAAGCATGCCTTTGCTGTCATGTTCAGAATGTTAACAGTGTACCCTGCTCTTATTAAGAAACTAGAGCAGAACTGTGCTTGGAATCCCTGCAGTCATCTCAGCTGTGACCCCAGCTAAGTAAGGGTGGCTCCACCGACAGCCTCCGCTTCCAGCAGCTGGTAAAGGGCCAGGGCTGTGGGCGGCAGTGCCTTGGGGGCCATCGCTCAGCCAAATCAACGCTGCAGCCGCATCGTTGAAGGAATTGAATTTAACAGAACGAATATCTATAAAGTTCATGCCTTGGCGGACACGAGGATTTTCCAGAGATTTTAACAGTGCTCATAAACAGCTCTAGTGCCTCTGAAGGACGGTAGCATTAGTAACATAAGTGATTTCAGATTTTTTTTTCATGGTTTGAAATGTGGAGAAAAAGCAAAATACTCTGCTCCTCCTCTTACATCCCTCTGGAGACAAAAAACAAAGAAATATGAGGAATTTATTTTCAAAAAATGCTTTAATGTGGACCCATTCCGAATCATGTTTTCCAACAAAATTGTGCAGTAACATTTTTTGCACATTTGCTAATATTAAACCTGCATAAATCACAAACAGAAAACTTCTAAACTATTATAAAGCTCTAAACCTAACTTTCAATTCTTATTTAATTGTAAGAACTTTTGTAACAACACATAATTATTAAAAGGATTAGACTGTTGAAAAAAGTTCCTTGATGACTATCTGCAGCTTTATCACTGGAATCACTGCCCCAATTAGTATTTATAAGCCATGTTCTAACTTGGAAAATATGCACACCATTCATGAATTTTAAAAGTACACGTTCTATGTTCAACAGCTAGAATGAGCTCCTGCATATTGAATTTGGCTCTTGCAGCATTTTAAGCACAGAAACTTGCATTTCTTGCTGTGCACAGGTCAGAAGATGGGTGGTGCTATAAAGACTGGCATAGGTAGTTTCACAGGAGAATTGTATGGGCATCAATTTTTACGTCAAATAGAAGCAAAATGTGGTAGAGAATTTTAAAATTTCAAAGTAATAATTAGAGCATGATTAAGTCCCCAGAATAATTCTCTAAGAAACTCTTTAAAATTCTAATTTAAAGGAGTATTTTGAAGCCAAATGACTTAATTTGTATAGGAATAAAGCATCCAGTCACTGTTTCATCTGGGAGCACATAGTAAGCAAAAGGCCAATTCTGAATCTTTATAAAGCATTTAAAAGAAAATCTCCCGTCTGCAGCTGTGCTATAACAGACTAAGGAGGAAACAAATCTGTTGCACGTATTTGTAAGGCAGATGGATTTCCATGGATTGTACAAATAGCCAATATAAGCCTGATTCTGCATCCATATTTTTGTAATTTTAAACAATTTCTTTAATAAGAAATGACACATTATTTTAGTAATATATACGGTAATCCACATCTGTCGGTTGTAGATAAATCACAAATGTGGATTTGTGTGTATGTATTTACGTACATATAAAAAACAACTTTCTGAGCAAAGAAATTCCTTCCTCAATGATAAGAGTTAACATGTAGTATTGTGGATGCCATTTGTAGAACAATAAATAGAAAATATGTTCTTCCAATAGGAATGCAAAAAAAGGCCACAATCATGTTCAGATAAAAGAATTTATTTCTATACATACACACACACATATTTGGGGGGCAAGTTATTTAATCTTACAGTTCAACAGAAAAACTGTAAAACCTTTGAGAATTTGCTTTTCCGTATACTGATGACTTCTGTACAAGTAGTATGTAAATAACCACCAGCTAAATGCACTACTATAAGCTGGCTTGCTCACTGGCAGAGAGAAGCACATTCGTAAAACCTATTTTTCATTGACTTTCACTGCCTGCTTTTTTCCCCATTGATGTCATTGGCAAAGCTCCTTTTCAGGGGACACAATAAAGCTGGGGTGGGGTTTTTTTCCCCTCATCATAAGCACAGCTCAAGCAAAATGATTTGCACGAAAAATTATGGAAGTAGCTCATTGTGTCAGGACTTGCATGTCCTTAAACTAAAAATAAACTACAGCAGATTGAAACAAATAATAACTGAAGTTTTGCACGCTTTGGGTAGAAGTCATAGTAAATGGTTTGTCAAAAGAGCGTGCAGGGAGTGAACAGAAAAAGTCAATGTGATGGAGCACGTCTGCCAAAAGCCTCTCCAGAAACACAAAGTCAGATTTCATACCAAATACTTCTCTGATCCAATACCCCACGAACAGGACATCTGTGTGAATTATTTCACCGTAACACAAACCACTGGAGCAAGAGGAAAACTAAGGTGTTTTGCCTTCAAGTCCTATGATGTAAACACTGTATCAAGGATATTAAAGTGTCAGTAAAGGACCACTGTTACAAATACTAAGTGACATGAAAGACAAGGGGAGATTACAGATGCTGCAGCAAAGAGATGCTGTTTAAATTGAAAAAAAAAATAGACATAGGAAAAACAGAAATCCAGGGACAGGAGTTAATAATATTTAAAATATTATATGGAAACGAAGCGTCTCCAATAGGTATAGTGTGAACTATTCCAGCCAGGCACAACACAAGAAAGGTGGATGACTTTGGTCTTAGGGGAAAGCACCTCAACTCTGTTCCTCAAGCTCAAGCCTCACTGCTCCTGGAAGGGGGAGATCTCAGGGCCTTCCATCTGTCTTTAGCCACTGCTTTCTTTCTCCCCTTCTCACTGTGCAGTCCTGCACCCTTCTTCCAACCATCTGTGATGCTAAAAAGCTTCTGTGCGACAGTTCAAATGACTAACAGCAAGAAAATACCCAGGGTTGGAGCGGAAGGGGTGGGGGGGGATGGGGATGGGGCTTTTCCGTGATTATTTTTCTGTTGGCTTAAGCGGTGGTATCAGAGTCCAAGTACTGCTTCTAGCACAAGCTGAGTGACGCAAGTGCGATGACAGGTGAGGTAGCTCCCTTTTAGTGGCAACAAACTATGAGATCTGAAATCTTTTCTTACGCTGAGAATCGGAGCCCAGTTATGAGGACACCAGTCAAAGTTTTTCTAACATGGACAAACCACCAGACGATACGAACTTTAAAGGCTTCACCTCAGATGGTGCATCCCTGCTTCAGAACACTTTAAGGAAACCTAGCCAGGTTGCCTAACTCTGAGTGAGGGCAAAGAAATTTGCCAGAGGTTACAGAGATGCAGTTTCAGAGCTGTTGCAAAATTTCAGAAGATTATGCTCTTGTCTGCATCTCTTAACCCTTCAAAAAAAGACCACATGTAGTAGAAGCATACACTTAGTAAGATCTTTGGTAGGACAGCATGCCTGCAGTACTCGGCTTTGTGCCCACTTAACGCATGAGCAGTCACAGCACACTGAGCGATGCAGCATCACACGGGGACACATCAGCTACTTTGAGTAGTGAGCACATGTAGCTTCACCACCAGCAATGCCCTCTCAGAGCAAACCCGACCTGCTCAAAGCCACCATTGCCTATGTCCTGGCCCAGCACCAGGCCAACAATACTGTGTTGCACTGTGTGAATGCACCAGATTATTTGGAATCAACTTAGATATTTTTAACCATGCTGCACGGTACAAATATGCCCTTAAGCCCTACTGTGCTACAAGGCTATCTCTGGGTGGACAGATGGAGCTGATTTATTCATTAGCCAAGGTCACAGTCTGTCCCTTTTTGTCGAAAGAACATTACAAACAATGTGGAAATGCAGGAATAGGGAGGGGTTTAAGAAGATACAAAAAACTAGCTTGGTTTTTCAGGGCTCCAGAAGATGTAACCAAAATCCCAGCAGTTGGAAGTGTGTATCAACTGCAGATGCCCAGAGCAAGATAGCTCTGGTTAACTGTAGTTCTTACAAGGAAGTAAAACCGGTGCCAGGGAAAGGCACAGTATCCTGAGCAACTACATGACTGCCATAGGGACCAAATATAAACACCTGTCCAGCCTAAATGTATGATTTATACAAACACACGTACACTACGAAATACAGCAGCTAAGTCAGGATGCTGCTCGGCGTGGGAATAGGGAGCTGACATTTGCTTGCAGAGGGAACAGGTCACTTGAGTGCCCATGTCCACCGTGTATACGCAAATTTCTGATGTCCACAAATTTCTCTGAAATTTGGCTGGATGGAAGTCAGGCTGAGTCAAGCAGCTGAGCCGGTTGTAGATACATATTACATTTTCAGTATATGGAGATCAAGAAAGGAGGCCCACTGCATTTGGGGAAGATGGGAACTACCATCAGATTTAAAAC